TGGGGGATGTTTGGATCATGGGAGCAAATCCTTCTTGAATAGCTTGGTGCTCTCCCCATGGTAATAAGTTCTGACTCTGTTCATTCACACAAGAGTTGGTTGTTTAAAGGAGCCTGGCACCTTCTCTCTCTCTCTCTCTTGCTCCCTCGCTTGCCATCTGACACACCTGCTCCCCATTTGCCTTCTGCCATGAGAAGAAGCTTCCTGCGGCCGCGTTAGAAGTCAAGAGTCTTATGCTTGTACAGTCTGCAGAACTGTGAACCAAATAAACTTCTTTTCTTCACAAATTATCCAGTTTTGTGTATTGCTTTATACCAATGCAATATGGACTACTACATGAGCTTGCAGGGGAATAGTTAATCCTTGTCTAACTCAAACATTTTTGGTAGCTACCTTTGCTTTCCATAAAAACCCTGAAAGTTGGGGTTTATTAAAATAACTTCAGGCCTGGTGCGGTGACTCACACCTGTAATCCTAGCACTTTGGGAGGCTGAGGCAGGTGGATTTCTTGAGCTCAGGAGAATAAGACCAGCCTGGGCAACATGGTGAAATCCCATCTCTACTAAAAATTCAAAAATTACGTCCAATATAGTAGTTAGGAGTGAGGGCTCTAGAGCTTAACTCCATAAATTCTGATTGCATTGCTTATTAGCTGGAGAACTTTGACCAAGACAATTAGCCTTTCTGTGCTTATAGTTCCTTTTCTGTGATATAGGGAGATGTAATACCTATTTCAGAGGTTTATAAGAACTGAGGTGCTATGGCAGGCATGTGGGTGTGCTCCTATGGTCACAGCTAACCAGGAGGATGAGGTGGGAGGAGCGCCTAAACCCAGAAGGCAGAGGTTGCAGTGAGGCCAGATTGCACCACTGCACTCCAGCCTGGGTGACAGAGTGAGACCCCATCTCAAACAAAAACAAAAACAAAAACTTTAGCCCCCAACCCTCACAACATTTGCTGCCATCACTTGGACATTTCAGCAACAGAGAGTAGACAGATGAAAATCTGTTGGATGGGGTTCACTTCAGCTCTACCAAGCTCCTGACCTGGAATTAAAATTGGGAGGGCTGACTGATTAAATGGGCTGTTCATGTTGAAATTTCTCAACAAAAAACAATTAGGGAAAAATTAAAGTGAAACTAAAGTGGCTGCTTGTTATGGAGAACTAGTGAACACGTTTTCAGACTCTGAATTTATGAAAAACATTTGACCTTCTCTGGCCTCAAAAACAATTCCACTTAGTAGGGAATACAATTTTTGATGAGTTCTATTATATTGGCAGCTACAGAGAGTTGGGTCTTCCTAAAGCCAAACCAATTACCGAGAAGGGCTCAGGCATTGAAAGGTTGCATTCATCCTCCTTTCAGTCTTAGGAGGATTTCATTGAACTGTGCCTTCTACATGAAAATGTGATCTCTGGTGTGTTCTTATGTTCTCAACTAATTTCCCTGTTACTGAAATTGGGATCCAGGAATGGGACAGTTTCTCATCAACTGGGGGTCAGCCTCTGATGAAAGTAGGTCATCAATATACAGAAAGAGATGGGGGATACCTGAAGCCATTGGACTGGATAATTATCAACTTGAATAGCTGATAATGTTTACTGAGAACTTAGGAGGGCACTACATCTCTGAGCACCTTACACATAGCATCTCAGTTCTTATAAACCTCTGAAATGGGTATTACATCTCCCTATATCACAGAAAAGGAAATATAAGCACAAAGAAGCTAATTATCTTGGCCAAAGTTCTCCAGCTGGTGAGCAATGCAATCAGAATTTATGGAGTTAAGCTCTAGAGCCCTCACTCCTAACTACTATATTGGAGGTAATGCCATACTGTCACCCTTAGTAAACAGGAACACTAAGGAGTTAAACGGAGAACTCAGTTGCTGAATTCTTTTCTTTTTCTTTTTTTGAGACGGAGTCTTGCTCTATCGCCTAGGCTGGAGTGCAGTGGCGCAATCTAAGCTCACTGCAACCTCTGCCTCCTAGGTTCAAGCAGTTCTCCTGCCTCAGCCTCCTGAGTAGCTGGGATTACAGGCACCCATCGGCATGTCTGGCTAATTTTTGTATTTTTAGTAGAGGCAGGGTTTCGCATGTTGACCAGGATGGTCTCGAACTGCTGACCTCAAGTGATCCACCTGCCTCGGCCTCCCAAATTGCTAGGATTATAGGCGTGAGCCACTGCACCTGGCCTGGTTGCTGAATTCTAACCAATCCAACTCATTAGCCCACCACTCGTCACATGCATCCACGGGAAACTGGAAAGTGAATACAATTTCCATTTTTATTAACAAACACTCACATCTTTTGTTGTCTTCATCATTAAATCTATATTTACCTATGAAAATTATTCTAGCTGCTCACAGAATCAAAACAAAATAAAACAATCCCCAAAGAAAAAAACATAACATTCTTGCTTTCCCTGGCTCTGTCAGAAATCATCCTCTCCAGCTCAGCTGTGTGAGACTGAGGAGGTGGAATCTATAGTCCACCCTCCTGAATCACAAAGACAATAATGACAAATCATTGAGAGGCAAAGGCCCAATTTGGAAGAAAATAGATTCTCTCAGACTTGTAGATATTAGACTCTATCCTTGGAAAATGTGATTTGGTTCACATACCCTAAAATTCTATTATGAAACAAACAAAAAGCCATCAACTGGTATCTTGACATGTGAGACATAATGCCTATAGTAGAAAAAAGTGACTATCAAATAAGTGAATTGTTTTCTTTTTTCTGTTTCGATTTTGAGAAAATGTATCAGTTGATGTTCAATTTTCTCATTCTTATGATGTGTCTCATTAAAGAAGATCACACATTGTTTGAAAGTTCTCCCACTGAAAGTCAGTATCTATTCTTAACTCTTTTAATAAGGCAAACCCTGTGACTGTTTTGACAAATAGAACACATTAGAAGTATTACTGAGCCAAATTCTAGGCCCAGGTGTAAGAGACTGGCAACCTCTAATTTCTCTCCCTTGGAAAAATAGCAGTTGGAACTCCAAAGCCACCATGGTATGAGGAAGCTTAAGCTAGCCACATGGAAAGGCCATATGGAGAGAGAGAAAGAAGAGAAAGAGAAAGAGAGAGAGAGAGACAGAGAAAGAAACAGTCATTCATCCTAGCCCAGATGCCAGATGCCAGGAATGTGAGAGTAGAAACTACTTGAATGTCCAACTCTGTCAAATCTTCCAGTAGCTTCAGCTACAGTAGTTACCTGCCTTCCACCAATGAGAGATTCCAAGTGAGGATTACCAAGCTGAGCACACAGTGAACCCACAGACCCCGTGATGGATACCAATACATTTTAGTTTTATTCACTATGTTTTCAGGTAGTTTATCATGCAGAGATAGATAACCCAAATAGATGGTGAATTCAAAAAAGACTGAAAAGATAAAAATATCGTGCCACTTAATATATCTAAGGCATTTGAAAGTGGCTTAAGCTTTCTCAACCCTGGTTTTCTCATCTGAAAATTTCTAATTTTCTCATCGCAAGTAAAGTTAAACATGTAAAGGTATCTTGAAGATCAACCTAAAAAATTAGATGGCAAACTACAAAGCACTATAAAAGATAATGGTACTATTATTCATACTTTTATTGACAGGGGACTATTACAAATTATAATTTGTAAAGCCAGACATTAAGCTGGACTATCGGAAATATTCATGTAAAAATTTAGAAGCTACATAATTGTGATTTTCTTGATATATAGCTAAGTCATCTCTACTCTAAAAACCAACATGCTCCTGGAATCTATGCCATAAATGGATAAATTCACAAATATAAGGCAAATACGTCTGCAATTACTTTATTATGTTTCTAGAAAATGCTAATCCTGGCATCAATAAACAAAAATGCTGTTGAAGTGTGTGCTGTGATCTTTGGTAGTTTCAGAAAGTTCACTTGTCAAATACCGAAACTGTGAAATGCACAGGCAAAAGCAGGAAGTCAAGTATAGGTATTCTTCGGTGATGTCAAACACTACAGCAAAACATTACTAAGAGGGACTGCTTATGCAATAATCACAGATGACTTCAGAGTAGTACTCACAGTTGAAAAAGCAGTTCTTTGTTGCTTTATTTGATTTCCATGTCAGTTGGGGTTATTTAATCACAAGCAACTCTGGATAAGGAAGGCCAAAAACTAATTTGTTATGAGTATACAGGTCAGCTCAGAGAAAGGAAGAAAAACTGAGCAAATGGAGCCTGTGAAAGGACAGGAATCAGTGCTCTCTGAGGATCTGTGAGTAGGAATGAGTGACCAGTATCTTTAGATCACCACCATGGGGACCAGCTTCTTGTCTTGAGTCATCTGATCAAGATGCAAATTTCCAGATCAGAGGGTCTGATTAATGCTTTGGTTTGCAGGTGACCCTTGGACCATGACATACAGGGCATCTGACTGATAGTCCCACCAAGACTGCCTATGATCATGTAGGCATGGTTCTTGGTTTAGTTCCTGTTTCCCAGACCCATACCTTGAGATGAGGATGTGTGTGCTAATGATGCTCTAAGTGCTGCTGGTGAAGCCCCATAAGGATGTGGGGGGTAGGACAGCAAAGAGGGGGAATGTGAACCAGGGGCAGGAACTTGGGATAAGTCATGCTGAGTATAGCTTCAGCCTGATCCTGCAGGGGAGCTCTAGAGTGGAAGTGGAGCTTCAAAGTTATCCCATCAGTCTTTCTAGTACCATACCTGTGTGTCATTGGTTCTGACCTTTTCCTGGGCAAAGGAGGTGAAGTAGGCTATAAATCCTCAGGCACCCAGGCACTTTCCTTTCTTTGGGCGTGCAGTCACAGCATGTTCTGGCCAACCAAGGGTGGTCCTCCAGAAAGAGCTGTACAGGCGTGGATGGCAAAGAACATATCCAAGGAGATCTATAGGTCTCTCTCTCTCTCTCTCTCTCTCACACACACACACACACACACACACACACACACACACACACACGAAGCATAGAATATGAATGCTGGGCAACTAAAAACATTAAATATTCCTGTGGGATTACAATCTTTATTGTCCCAGTTTTTAAGCCCAAAGAGGTTGAGTATTTTATCACTGGTCTAGTGGAGGAACCAGGATCCCCCTGCTCCGGGGATTGTTTTTCCATCATACCATACAACTGGCTTGTCTGTTTTGTGTATTTAATTTCTGTTTGCTTGCTTGCAGAAATGTCCAGCTGTTGGAGCACACAGCAGTCAAGGCTGTGCTGTGGTGCAGGCATGTGTAGAAGCTTCCCAAACTTCCATCTCCCTCACGTGTTTTTAGGTTTCCACACTGCAAAGATAAAAAATCTTTCCACACTGCAAAGATAAAATAAGGAAGGATTCAAGGAGCTGCTTTTTAGGGTGAGGCACAGATCTGCCCAGGAGAAATAGATAATTATGGGTATACAAGAAGAAAAAGATGTACCATTCTTCTTCCCTTCTGGAAATACGCAATGGTGAACCTCCATATCCCTTGACAAATTGATGGCAGAATGGAAGAAGAATTTTGGAAGGGGTGACTGTTAGTGTCCTGTAGACAACAATTTCAAATGGCCATTTTAATGTAGAAAACAAAGACATGCAGATGAGTTTGCAAAATACTAACACCAAATTCTTAGTAAGGTGGAATACATTTTCAGGATAGAGAACAAAAGGGGAGAATAATAACCTTGAGATTTCCATGGCCTAATAAGGTGAGAATAAAACTTCATTGTCATTCAAGAGAATGTTCTGGAGAGACGGGCTAACAGGACATTGCTTAGGGAATGAATGAAACAGAATATCCTAGACTAATGGAAGGGTTCTATTTTGTTCTTCCCATAAATCCTACACATTTGGAAGCGGCAAGAAGAGGAATTGCATATGAGCTATGGCTCCAAGCTCCCAAAATGTGCTTCACAGTCTTACCAAACTTTACTTATATACCACAAAATCAAAAAAGCAGTCATTTTGTTTAGACAGACTCAATGCATGTCTAATTTTCCTTTAACATGTCTTTGGTTATACATAATCGCCAAAGGAAAGAACTTTTTCCTAGCGTCAACCACCCAAACTTTACTGGTGTGCTCAGGGAGGTGGCAGCTCATTTGTTGCATACTGTACCTTTGTGTCAGTTACAAGTAACTGGAAGTTGGAGGCATGGATGAAAACTACCTGGGGATTTTTCAGACTCACCTGCACAGAACCCATCTAATTTACTTGGGAGGAGGAAGACATGAATATTGAGAATTATCCTCAGGCATTTCTGATGAATTTCCTCCTCTCATTCACTTCCAATCCCACTGGGCAACAAATTGTTATGCCATCCACTCCTGCCATCTGAACTTTGTCTTTTCTGTGCCAGGGCACACAAACCCAGTTACTTAGGTCTCTCTTCAGCAGGCTACATAATATATACTTGCAGTTAATTTCCTGAGTACCTTGGAAGGGCTGGGTTTTTATAGATATTTTGGAAAGAAAATAAAAGCTGAAAGTAAGAGATTCAAAATTATATTATTCAAAATGATAATGCAAAAAATACTGAGATTAAAGGTTTACAACAAATGCTTATGAATCCCTATTCCATCTCTCCATATCTGATAATCTGCACATCACCCCCCATAATCACCCTGCCATATCGTCTCACCTCAGGTTGACAGCAAGAGGCTGACCAGCTGACACTTTCTGAGAATTCCTCGAGGGAAGACCCATCTTCTTGTTCTGCTTTCCCAGATACATTCTCTATGCCATCGTGTAGTGCTATTCTCTATTCCAGTCACAACAGAGGACCTGGCCCTCTTTATTCTCTTCTTTTCTCTGATGTATTGCCTGATGGCTTCAACTTGGATAACCCAGCCAGTCCCTGACACTCTCCATTATTAGCTGAGAACAGGGAATTCAAGTTGGTCTAGGCAATTAGCCTGGAGGTAGAGAGAGTCCTCTCCATTAGATGGAGTGGGGCTCTTTTTTTGATGCTTATTTTATATCTAAACAGAAAAAAAGTAGGATTTCACTGTGTCGCCAAACAAGTACAACTGGGACTTACACTTTTCAATTTGCATAATGTAATATATTTTCAAAATTTCCCACAATTACATATTTTTTTCTTTGTAGGTTTGGGGATGTCATTTTGGATTTTGAGGCACATGTAGGCCCTCTCTCTTGCTAGCCTGAAAGTATGCTTTTGCTGTCCCTACAGTACAATTAAGCCCCTATTACCCCCTATTACCAATACCTTTCCCTATTACCAATCCTTGTCTCCAATTCTAAAATAGTGACCATGCTCCCTCCTTCTTCCCCTGTCTCTCCTCATTAATACAGAAAACTAAGTTAGATTTATTTTGTGCAGTTTGGACCTGATTGATAATTGCCAATAGTGTCCCTGGGATTGCTACTTATGACCCATTTTCATCCCTCATTCTTGCCAGTTCCTATAAACTTTCTCTTTTCTCGGCTCATGTCTCCATCCACGCCAGCTGCTTTGCAGCCAGGGCTACACCGTGCAGTAGGAGCAGGAGCTGATGTTGTCTTGGTTCTACAGTGGCCTGAACTTTCTGGACTTCTATAAAATTATCTTCCTTCACCCTCCACCACCCTGAAGTATGCTGTAGAAGGTGAACTTGTATTTCCAAACAAAACCTTACATACGGAGGCTTAAACAAATAAATCAAAGAGCAGCAGTAGCCCAGAGCTGACCATCTTAGTTGTTCCTCACTCACATTTGAAACCTCTAGAGGGCTTTGTAGCACAGTTTGAAAAATGCTGATTAGGCCAAAATGTACTTTATTTGCTCTAGCAATTGAGTCTGTGAAAGCCCCAAACTGAATGTCTATACCTTAACATAATGATGATGGTCCCATTCGCCAATTTTTCCCATTCTTAAAAGCATCATTACAGAAGAGTGTAAGTTTTGGGGTCAAACATGTAGGTTTGTATCCTTGGTCTACCTCTAGTTAACATGAATTGAGCATCTTTGAAACTCATATTTTTAAGGTGTAAAATGAGAATGATAACACCTATGTCATAGAACTTTCGTAAAAATTAAATAGCAAAACATAGGTACACGAGTTAGCTCAGAGAAAGGTAGGAACCTCCAGTCTCCTTGAGAAAGACAGCAGTGAGGGGATCGTCAGGCTTTGGGGTGCTTCAGGCTGACTGCTCTCCTGCCCCCAGGCTGCATCCTGACCTCCTGCCATAATTATTATAGTAGGACTCTGTCCCTAGATGTAGGAATCACCTATGGCTGATATTGGAGGTCAGCTTTTAATAAGTGAGCACAATGAGGCAGAGATTCGATCAGCTGTGTGGATTCACAGAGGCAAGCCAGAAGCAGCCGTATATTCAAAAAGATAAGAAAGATACATAGCTTTTAATAAAAAAAAGAATTTTCCACTACATACAATTTCCTTTAAGCCGCTTGACATCTCTCTGGGCTTCTGCTGTTGTAATCCCGGTGCAAGCAGAAGTGGGAGAGAGTTTAAAGTATCATCCAAGGAACTAAGGATTTAGAAGAACAAAGATCCTGCTCTTTATCTTTTGCTGAGACAGCTCCTCCATGGCTCTCTGGTCTGAGATTCAAAGATTCATTTCCACAAAAGCAAAAAACTGCGTTGATGGGTCTTACTCTAGATTTGTAAAATAGCAAACACGATGTGTGTGTGCATATGTGTGTGTGCACACACATATGCACATGTGAACATGCAGGCTTAGATGGTAAGTGTATGAACCTAGCTTGTGATGACCACAGTGAAGAAGTAGAAATGGAAAACCTTTCTCATCTCATGTAAACAACATTTAATTTTCATAACAAGGCAACACAGGTGCACCATAAATACAAGGGGACAATTAAAAAAAAATAAGGGTAATCATTAAGGCAGGAGGAGAAAATGCATAGATTACAACATAAAAGGAGAAGTAGTACAAAGAAAACTTTAGAAAACCGCTGAAAGATGTGAAAAGAAAAAGTAAATGGAAGTTACAAAAACATGGCAATAGACTAAAAAACAAAAATAGGCAAACAAAAGGTTAAGTATGAATAGGTATTCAGGTAAATAAGATGCAAACAGAAAGCAAGCCAGGTTAGCAATATCAATATCACACAAAATAGAATTCAGGTAACAAACATTACATAAGGCAAAATGATTTACTTTTTATTATTGAAGGGTATAATCTACAATGAAGTTATAATATTCATTTACTTTTATGTGCCCAAAGAAATTGCATTGAAATAGATAAAACAAAAGCTATTAGAAAAATAAGAAAAAGTAGACAAAACCATAACATTAGGAGGATATTTTAGCACAACTTTCAACTTTGGATGACTCAGACTAAGGGGATAGAATAATATATACAAACAAATATATAAGCAAGAATGCAGAGGACTTATACATAATAATTACAAACATAAACTATTTGAAAACCAAGTTCTTACAATAACCTAGAATGCTCTTCTTAATCTGCCCTTCACTGACTTCTGTGACCTCTCTTTGTATTTAACATTCTTGCATATTTGCGCATCAGTTTATTTGCACATTCTGTTCCCCCTTCCTGGAACAGTCTTCCCGGGTGTCTGCATATCTCATCCCCTCACCTCCTTTAGGTCTTTATCCTGCCTGACCTTCACTTTATCCCATCTAAACTGAAATCTGCCATCCACTCTGATGCTCCCTCGCCTAATTCTATGCTCCTTTCTTCCGTAACACTGTTTAACATCTAACATTCTATGCATTTTCTTTCTTACTTTTTTTGATGTCTGCCCCTACCCTCTGAATATAAATTATCTGAGGGCAGGGATTTTTATCTAATTTGTTTACCGCTGGACTAACACAATGCCCGATGAATAGGAGGACCGCAATAAAATTATTGCTGAGTAAATGAAAGATAATTTTATATTTCCTCAAATAAATGAATGAACATAGGCTAAACAACAAATGAAACCTTGATATAATTCAAATATTATGTTCTATAGCTGAATTTTAAGTAATATCATAATATTAAAATAATAATATTATCAGACAAAATAATTTTAGACATTACTATTTTTTCATGAAAAAGAAATTCTTTTTTCCTGAATTTTATCTAGAGTCATAGTGTGGAAAATATGTGGGGCAAGAAAATTCTAAATTGATTGGTACTACTGTTAAGATTACTTGACATCGGCTGGGCGCGGTGGCTCAAGCCTGTAATCCCAGCACTTTGAGAGGCCGAGACTGGTGGATCACAAGGTCAGGAGATCGAGACCATCCTGGCTAATACGGTGAAACCCCATCTCTACTAAACATACAAAAAACTAGCCGGGCGAGGTGGCGGGCGCCTGTAGTCCCAGCTACTCGGGAGGCTGAGGCAGGAGAATGGTGTAAACCCGGGAGGCGGAGCTTGCAGTGAGCTGAGATCGGGCCACTGCACTCCAGCCTGGGCGACAGAGCAAGACTCCATCTCAAAGAAAAAAAAAAAAGATTACTTGACATCTGAGCCTGGCAGATATGTAAGTTCACATTTTCTCTTCAGTATCTTCATGAGTTCCTAGGGAGCTCTAGTGAGAAAATGAATCTGTATTTTTTATGATGTGTTGCATTTTTATCTGTTTAGCCATTCCCATATCAGTCCACCCTATCTAGATTATCTTTTCCGGGGTCCTAGTGCCCCTACATTTGATCCTCTTGGACAGGATGTAAACTCTAGTCAGTTCTTTTGGGCACAGCCTATATGCTATCATTTTGTCTTGACACAGCTTGAAATACTAAGCTTGCAACACAACCATTTCTTCTGTGCTTATGCTTTCAGTCAACTCATCTCCAGATTTAAGACTTTGTAAGGGTTATTTCAGAAAAACGAATGAAACCTTCCAGGTAGTCCCACTGGAGCCCCTTTCCTTCCACTTGAGGTAAAGTTAGAGGAACCTCTATCTCTCCCCTTTGGGGTGGGTTCCCAGAGCATAACTTTGTCCAAAGAAACCATCCCATGAGCAATTTCTCAACCATATCTATCCTTGATGTGGGTGAGGGATTCAAGAGCATTTAACTGCTTTTTGACTCTGCTTGCAATTCTTAAAGAATGATCTGTTTCACAATCCACTTTGGTACCTGATATCTTTCATGTTGAGCTCAGAGAAAACTGCCATTTAAAAATGATCATAAATTTGAAACATTATTGCATTGCTTAAATTTTTATTAAATCTGTATAACAAAAAACCATGGAGTCATTAAAAGTGATGTTTTAAAAGAATCCACATAATATATGGAGAAACCTCACAATATATGGTTGAATGTTTTAAAAGTTAAGCTGAAAAGCTATGTGTATATTAATTCAAATTTTATCAAAAATAATTATACATATCAATTCAAAAATACTTGAATGATATATAGTAAAACATTAGAGAAGTTATTTGTGAATGTTAAGAGGTTATTTATTTTGTTATTTATCTATGATTTATATGCTTTTTATAGTAGAAGAATTCCTGTGGAATAAATAAGCTAAAGATGTTTTAGTAAGCAAAAACTAAAGTTCTATTTGGTTTTAAAACAATTTTTAGAGACAAAATATAAGATAGTGGGTAAATTCTCAGACTAAAAGTCCCCGCTGGCATCAAACTCAGCGTATGACCATAGGCAATTCAGTCTTTAGTTCACTTTGTAATACTAATTAAGCTAACCACTCACAAGTCTCTCCTGGCCTGTTTCCTCATCTTTAAAATAGTGAGGCTGAGTTTTATCAAGAGAGCTGATTGAGAACATAAACCATTCCTCTTGCACATCTAAAATTACATGAAATATCAGAAAATATACAGAATTCAAAATAAGAAATTCATAGCAGCATTTGAAAGCAAGCTTATAATAAGCAATCCAGAAATATTAGCAATTTCAAGAAACAGAGAGAGAAGATGAAAATATTTATGCAGAGAAATAAAACAAACAAAAAAATTAGAACTGAAAATACATGAGAAAGAAACAGTAGGAGTGGAATGCCTCTGAGATGCTCAGATCTCAGACCACAAAGAGTGGAGTCATGGCTCAGGGCAGGTGCCAAGGCATGAATTGTGAAACTACGTTTGGAGATCTGGAGCGGTCAGTCCTTTCTCCCTTGAAACCCTTTTCCCATTTAGAAAAAACAAAGTGCAGCTTGCTGCCAACGCTCATTTAATTTTATATAAACATGCTCTTTGAGGCTGAAGCAAATCTGACTAATTTTCAATGTGAAAATAAAATATAAAAACTGTTCTTGGAGTTATTTCTAAACAGAACTAACATCAGAATTGTCTGAATCATCAGAATCATCTATTTCAGAAAACAAGAATCATCAAATGAATCTTTGGCCAACAAATATTTGGCAATGATGTTACTATAACCCATAGGAATGCTATGTTTTCTAGGATTGGACATTTTCCACGATTGAGAATTACAATACTTTTAAGTGGAAATACCACTACTTAAAACAGAATGCTATAAATAGAATGATCTCTTTGTTTCCAAAGTCAATATACTAGAGTGAGGTGAAAATAATAATGAAAGCAAGATATTTCGTGGCAAAGTTATCTCAGGGTAAATGCTGCAGCCACAAGTGTCACCAGCAAGTATTCTCAGGGCAAATGGAAAAAGGATTAATTATAATGTTTTAATAAATTGTTCTCTGTGTTTCAGTCTTTACTTGTAAACTTGAGATGATAATAATGCCTACCTGATAGGTTGCCCTAAGGATAGAATGAGTAATATCTGTAAAGTCTCTGGAACAGTCCTGATACAAAATAAATATTATATCAGTATTATTTGCTGATACTAACTGGTTTTGAATGTTGTTGTATGGTAAAGTAACACTTTGTGCTGAGAAGCCAACATGAAACGATAAAAAAAAGACAAGCAAATTTAGTAGAGGAACACCATGTACCTTGATATGGCACTGCTAAACCAATCCTGGAACCACCTAACATTATACTTTTCATTAAGTTAATGACTACAATCCTAATCTAAGCCAATGTTTGTCCAAATGTTCCTTGCAACAAAACATAACCTAGTTTATAAAGTAAAACAAAGATTATGTCTGAAATAGGGATGAGGGTAAACATATCAGTTATCTCAATAAATGTAAATGGGTTAAATTTCACTATCAAAAATTCGGTGAAAACAAGACAAAAACAGAATTCAGCCATCAGATGAATAGAAAACACATAAAAATTGCAATAAAATGATGAAAATAAATGGGTATAATTATAGCTGTTTAACACATTTTGTTTAATAAAACAAAATAAAAAACCCAATTTACAGTGGCAAGGTGTTATACAAGTGTTCTCAAGAATCTTTTATCTAAATTTTAATTTCTTTAAGTGTAAAGACTGTGTCTGTCTTGGTCATTTGTTTTATGCTCCAGTCCAGTATGTGACAGGCATGATGTCCAATAAGTAATATTGACAGAATATCTCCTCTTGTTCTGAAATATCTTTGAATGAAGGAAGACAATCTGAACTAGGAACATTATGTGATGTACAAATGTATTTTTATATATTTATATTTATATCAAAATAATTTTAAATTATACATCACTTTTTGTTTGGTTTTTGAAGATTTTAATTGGGAGCTAATATAAAGAGTGTTTTGTTCTACTCTCCCTTTTTAAAATCTGTTATGGGCACATGAACAGGAAATCATCAAGAATTTTCAGGAAGAGATCTGAAATCTTGGTGAAATCAAGACTGGTGTTCTCATATAACTATTAGATCATACATTGCTCCTGGCCACCAAATGAGTCCTATTCTTAGCACAGCAATCAGTTGTCTACCTTAAGTGATTTGAACAGATAATATTGCCAACCTTATAAAAGGGGTACTGTAAGTCTTAGAAAAGCTAACAGAGGTAGAGACCTTAAAATAGGACCTAATGCATAGTTATCTTCAATAATATTAGGTATTATTATTGCTG